CCAGATTACGATCCCCAGAGAGAGACTACCAGAGAGGCCCAGACTGTAATAAGCAAGGTTTAATCAGCATAATACAAACATGTTTGGAACCCCTAGCTACTAACCCCGGTATAGTGAGGTAGAGAGAGGAGTTGTATCTCCTCTGTGGGGTAAGCTTTTAAAGACATAACTACAAAGAGGCTTTCTGAAGCTGCTTTGTCACGGATGCAAGGACTTTTGCTCTATCCCATATTGCTAAGTCAACTTTTTTTCTTTTTCTTAGGGCAAGGCCACTGTTTCTGAGTTAGGCCATCTTTATCAGCCTGTACCAGGTAGCTGTCTGGGCTGAGCCAAGTGTCCTTGTGCTCGGAATCTCCCGGGTGGGAGAGGGGAAGGCCACTATCTTCCTGGGAAAACATTCTGCTAGGAAATTTCTTCTCACCCCTTTGAGAATAAGGGGTGAGGGTCCTACACTTCTAAGAACATGAAGACTATTCTCTTACATCTTCTGATTTCCTCTTTCTAGCTGTCGACTGACTGTTTTCTCTCTGCTTGCTTCCTGTTTTACTTCATGTGGGCTGCTTGCCTGATTTATTTTTTCTCCTGCAAGTAGGCACTTTACGTCCTCTTTGGATCAAATGTGTATTTTGAAAGGCATCAATTTTGCGGACTCTTGAGCAGTGTCTTACAGCACAGCATCTTGGACCGGAGGCATTGATTTTACCCCATGAATCAGAATGAAGTATCAATTATTAAGCAAGCTGTGGCTTTTGCCAAAGCAAGAGTTGACAACTTAGGATCAACATAAGGGGAAGGCCACTATCTTCCTGGGAAAACATTCTGCTAGGAAATTTCTTCTCACCCCTTTGGGAATAAGGGGTGAGGGTCCTACTATATATATAGTGTTAAAACATCCCCATGAGCTGATGATGGCCCATTTTCTTTAATGCCATTTCATGGCAAAATAAAGCTCTGTTAGTCCTTCACCTGCACCAATTTTTCTTTCCTTGCCAGTCCATAGCAATACTGTCCAGTACAAATACAAGTCACATTCAGAATTTAAAAACTTAAAGCACATTTAAAATGTAAAGCTAGATAGGGGAAATTAATTTTAATATTTTATCTCACTCAGCAAATACTATACTTCCAACTATAGATTTATAACTAATATTATTATTAATAAGTGATTATTTTAATATTTTGCCTGTTTTTCCTGAGTCTTCAGAGATGTCAATATGTCAGCTTGAGATAAGACAAGATACCCAGATATATACAGTTTATTGTTTACAGAGACAATAAAAACGGACTAGTGCTATAAGCTCCCGGGTCCTTTTGTTTCAAAGGATGATGCTGAAATTAAAGGGTTCAGATGACATGTAAGATGATGGACCCCCTATTGTGGAGTTGTCAATGATATATTGTAGCTGAGCAGGCCTATGGCCTATAGCTAGACCCTAGAAGCAGAAAGCCCTTCTCCACCCACCGAGAATGAGGAAGGCAGATGAGACACTGCATTAGAGTCGCCTCCATCAAGATAGGGAGGTGAGTAGAGTCTTGTAGCCACACCTCTATGAGTCACTTCATGTGTTCTGGAAAAGTCACAGTCTAGTGTGTGTTTTAGATCTTTCTGCTGTCCCAGTCCTCCACCTTGGCTGCTCTGGAAGGTTTGTCTCCATTTCAAACTCAGCCCTTTGGCCTCGCCCGACACAGAATTTCTTTTCTCTATTATCACATTCTCCTTGTCATATCTTTTCAGTTCTGTATATTTCTAGAAAGCAGTTTTATATCATCTTTGCTTTCAAGGTTGTCTCATACTTCTCTTCAAATATTAGCTTAGCTTTGTCTGGACATGCTGATGTCCGTTAGTCCTCCTTCTTTCCATCTGTTTCCCTTAGTGTTCCTGCTGTCTTTGACCTTCTTGCCCAGACCCCACCCATATATACTGATTTACTCTTCCAAGTGCTTATTTTCATATGGGATAGAGCACCAAAAACGGTACAGAGAACATAAGGCAATGTGGAACTAGGCTACTAGTTAGCCAGGGCCATGGTGATGTCTGGGCCTGGGCTGCAGCCAAGGGCCATGACTTAGTCTATGACTCAGATGCCACTGTTGGGATGTGTTGATAATCTGGAGCTCCTGTTACCACTGAGGGCCTTGTAGTTTCTTGAAGTCTGGGCCACTACCTGCGACCATGTCTATGTCCAAGGGATGTGCCTCCACAAAAGCTATGCCAATCCAGGATTCCTGCACTACCACTCAGGACCATGGTGACATCCAGTTCAGACTGTGGCTCGGAGCCATGTCTGGGTCCATGGCCCTGCTGTGGCCAGACTCTGAGCTGACATCCATGGCTCCTGTTGCCACTGAGGGCTATTCAGAGGCCTGCAGTCTGAACAGATACCTGGAACTATGTTGGTTTTAGAGGGTCAGGCAGCCACCATTGGACCATATGCTGGGTGGCCCCTGCCACCACCTGGGGTCATGGTGCTCTGGTCCTGAACTGTGGCTGTGGGATGTGTCTGGGTCCATGGCCCTACCTCAACCAGAGTCTGTGTCAATATCCATGGCTCCTTTTACCACTAAAGGCTGAGCATATGCCCAGGGTCTAGTCTGCCACCTAGGGACATGCTGATGCTTGGGGGGCAAGTTACCACTGGGGCCATATGATCTGGGTGATCTGGCAATGCCAACTAGGGCCACAATGACATCCAGGCCCAGGCTGTTGCCAAAGACCATGTCTGGGCCCATGGTCCTACTGAAGCCTGATTCTGTGCTGATGTCCATGGCCCATATTGCCACCAAAGGCCAAACTGATGCCCAGGATCTGGGCCTCCACTTCTTGGTGCCTGCTAGTCATACTGCTGCCAAGCCAGAGTGACATGCACTGCCACCCAGGGCCAGGGTATTGTACAGGCCTGAGCTACAGCCAGGGCCATGTCTAGGTCCACGACCCTGCCACACCCAGGGTCTGTGCTAATGTCCGAGGTTCCTCTTGCAATCACAGGCAGTGTGGATGCCCAGGATATGGGACCACACCTGGGACAATGTGGGGATTCGAGGACAACAGGGCTGTTGAGTCCATGCTAATATTAAGTGACCTGCCTGACACTGGGACTATGGTGACATCTGGGCTTGGGCTGCTGCCAAGGACCATGTCTGGGTACATAGTCCATTCACAGCTAGGGTCTATATTGATGTCCATGGCCTATAGTGCCAATTAGGGTCACAAAGACATCGATGGCCCGAGCTGCCACCTAGAGTAAGATTAGTGTCCGAGGACTGAACCTCTGCCAGGGCCATGCAAATCTGAATAGCCTGTGTTGCCACCAGGGGCCACGGTGTCATCCAGGCCTGGACTGCTGTAAGGGGCCATGTCTGGGTCTGTGGACCTGCCTAGTTGTCTGTGTTGATGTTCTGGCTTCTGTTACCACTGAAAGCAGTGAGGATAGGGCTGCACAGAGTTGGCTCCACCCCACACTGACTGCAGCACTAGGGAGAACTGGCTCTACCCCTCACCAATTGCAGCACTTGGGAGAGTAGGCCCTGCACCTCCCCAGGGCAGCACGGTGTAACAGTCCCTGCTGACATGTGTGCAGATTAGCTGGCCCGAAAGACCCGAGAGGGGGAGAACTAGCCCTATGGTCTATCACGTGGTGGCGTGGGCAAGGGAAAGATAGCCCTTGCCCCTTAGGTGGGAAAAGCTGGTCCTGGGGTTATGAGAGTGGGAGAACTGATCCTGCCTCTCACCAGCTACAGCACCCAAGAGAGTGGGCCCTGCACCTAGCCCAGGCAGCATAATAGAGCTGACCCCATTGATGGGGGTGCAGGCAGTCGGGCACCTCAAACTCGCACGGGAGATCTGGCCCCACCCTTCATCTGCCATACGGTGGATTAGGAAAGGGAGAGATGACCTCTCCCCCACCAAACCTTGCTTCCTGTGCCTGGTGGTAGAGCTGGCCCTGAGGTCATGAAAGTGAGAGAACTGCCCCCCACTGGCAGCAGCACTCAGTAGAATGGACCCTGCACCTTGCATGTGCAGCACAACATAGCTGAGCCTGTTGGTGGGGAGGGACACGGGGGGGGGGGGACGGGTGAGCTGGTCCCAGGGGCATGAGAGCAGGATTGACCCCGCCCTCCCATCTGCCATGTGGTGACAAAAGTGAAAAAAGTCCTCCCTCCCTTCACCCCTTGCCACCTGTGGCAGGTGAGAGAGCTGGCCCGAAAGCCACCAGAGTGGGAGAGCTGGTCCTGCCCTTCACGGGCAGCACATGAGAAAGAGGGCACAGCACCTCACCTGGGCAGCACACTAGAGCTGACCTTGTTGGTGCCATGGGGTGGCAAAGGTAAGGGAAACGTGTCTTCCTCTTCCCTGCTCACTGCCACGTGACAGATAGGAAAGCTGGTCTCAGGGACATAAGAATGAAAACGGAGGAGCTGGTCCTGCCACTCACCAAGTGCAGCAATCTTTAGAGTAGGCCTTACACTTCACCTGGGTAAGACAGTACAGCTGGCCCTGGTGGTGCAGGTGAGCTGGACCTGAGGGTGTGAGAGCAGAACTGGCCCCACTCCCTTCTGTCTGCTACATTGGGTGAGCTAGACAGGACAATGCTGAAGAGCTCACCTGGGTGGTGGTGATGAGGGAGAGTTCGCAAGCTGATCAACCCAGCTACCACCCAGGCCCAGAACCAGGACTATGAAGTAGCCCACCCCAGCATCCACCTCATCTGTGATCTGCTGGAGCATGTGAAGGGGACAGAGCTCAGGCCCAAAGCTACAAGATCTCCACGAAACAGCACAACAACAGGATATCCAAGAGGAGCCCCAGTGAGAGCTCATTACCAGTGGTGTAGCAGAGACCAGAGGCCTCGAACCAGACCCATGACTCATTGCAACAAACACCTGCAAGTAAAGATGTATGAACTAAAGGGTATACTGTATGACTCACGGGGCCACACTACAGCTTCCATGAGGAGATTTTTCTTAAAAAACGTTTTTTGTTTTGTTTTGTTTGTTTTTACTTTTAAATTTTGTTTTTGGGGGTGGAAGCAAGCGGATGAGGAAATGAGTGCGATCAGGATGCATGACGCAAAATCCACAAAGTATCAATATCAATAAAATGTTTTTGTTTTTGTTTTGAAAAAATCCAGGGTTATTAAGGAAGTCTTCATGGGCATTACAGGAATTTAGCTTTTGCTAATCTTTTCTTATGGGAGTTACAATACAAAAGACTTAGAATAAGGGAGGCATTTTTTTTCTCTGTAATTCTTCTCTTAGCTAAAGAATAACATCAGCTTTGGTCTTCAATATCTAATCAGAGAGCAAAGATAAGTAGAAAGAAATAATCGGTGAGCAGGAAAGTAGCCTTTAACCCAAAAAAGGGCATAACCTAGTATTTATTACTGAAAGGTAGGCATTTAAACAATTGTGACAGGATCCAGTCACTGACAGAAATTAGGGATGTTTTTATTTTTGTTTTGTTTTGCTTTTTGAGACAGGGTCTCGTATATATCCCAGGCTGACCTTCAACTGGGACCTTTCTGCTTCTGCCTTTTGAGTTCTGGGATTACAATCTAACAAGTTTATTATTTTCTATATTGTAGGAAATACTTAAAACAGGGTTTGAAAAGCTAACATCTATAAAACAGTTGTACATCCTCTAGGCTACATCTTCCTTTGACAAGCATGGCCGAATGATCTAATGGTACCATACAACAAAAGACAAATATATAGCTCATACATATTTAATCTTAAATTGGTAAAGAAAAACAAAGCCCATGTTGAGTGGGGTCTCTAAGCCTATTATGCATTTTATACTATCCCCTTCTATATGGCTATGATGTTTATTTTTTACTATAACTAGTAAAATATTCAAATAAGCAAATACAGTTGGTTAATATAAAGTAACTAGTGGTTCCACCAAGTCTTCATCTGGAAGGTGAATCCACTTTATATGCTAGGCTGAGGGTTTCTTTACTCCTTTAGATAACATTTCAGTTGTTCCTGTAGGTGAGAAATCTGTAAGGAGACAGAGACAGAAAAACATCACAAAAGCTATTTGAATTTGTTTCTGGTATTCCAAACTTTATTTTTAAAAAACATTCTTTACTACAATTTCAAAAGTGTAACAAAGATCCGTTTTCACTATATTAAAGAATTAATAAATATGTACAACCAAACAAACCCATTTTAAGAATATTCAAAAGATAAAATAGGGGTAATGAGCAGGACCCTTACCATAAAAGTCTTAAGCTACAGTCATCCTCATAATATAAACTCTTTAAAGTTGCTACCTGCAATACTCTATACTAATTTCATGAGATTAACTTATTTCATGTTTTTCTCCCTTCTCTCCCCCCCCCACCACTGTAAACTGTTCTGTGGCTTGGAATAAACAATCAGTGAAGTTAGAAACTGAAAACCTTCTGTAAAGCAAAGGACACGGTCAACAAGATAAAACTTCAGCCTACAGAATGGAAAAAGATCTTCACCAACCCCACATCGGACAGAGGGCTGATCTCCAAAGTATACAAAGAACTCAAGAAATTGGTCATCAAAACAATAAATAATTCAGTAAAAATGGAGTACAGACCTAAACAGAGAACTGTCAACAGAGGAATCTAAAATGGCTGAAAGACACTTAAGGAAATGCTCAACATCCTTAGCCATCAGAGAAATGCAAATCAAAACAACTCTGAGATTTCATCTTACACCTGTAAGAATGGCCAAGATCAAAAACACTGATGACAGCTTATGTTGAAGAGGATATGGGGTAAAGGGAACACTCTTCCATTGCTTGTGAGAGTGCAAACTAGTACAGCCCCTTTGGATGTCAGTGTGGTGATGTCTCAGAAAATTAGGAAACAACCTTCCTCAAGACCCAGCAATACCACTTTTGGGTATATACCCAAAGGATGCTCAATTGTACCACAAGGACATGTGTTCAACTATGTTCATAGCAACATTATTTGTCATAGCCAGAACCTGTAAACAACCTAAATGCTCCTTGACCGATAAAGAAGATGTGGTATATTTACACAATGAAGTACTACACAGCAGAAAAAATAATGACATCTTGAAATTTGCAGGCAAATGGATGGATTGAGAAAACATATTGAATGAAGTAACCCAGACTCAGAAAGACAATTATCATATGTACTCACTCATAAGTGGCTTTTAGACATAAAGCAAAGAAAACCAGCCTACAAATCACAGTCCCAGAGAACCTAGACAACAATGAGGACTCTAAGAGAGACATACATGGATCTAATCTACACAGAAAGTAGAAAAACACAAGATCTGAGCAAATTGGGAGCATAGGATCATAGGAAAGGATAGAAGGGGAGGGCAGAGGAATGGAGAAAATATATGCTCAATAAAAAGAATTAAAAAATAAAAAAAACCTGAAATACCACTTGTAGTACTTTATTTTCCTTCGTCACCCTTTAACTGACCTAAGTCCTATCAACCCTTTAAAATATATCCTCCCATATGTAAATTGTCAGAGAAATTTTATTTTTAATACTCAAAGAGCTGAAAAATGTCTATCAGAATAAGAATAGTTAAGTAAAATGTTAATATAAGTTATTTTGAGTCAATTTTTAGGTCTGCTGTAGCTGGGGCCTTGCATGTTATGAGTTATTTCAAAGATTCATTAAAAATGTCTGGGCCTTAGGCTAGCTAGATGGCTCAGAATTTAAAAGTGGTTGCTGCACAAGCCTGAAAATTTGAATTTGATCCTAGGACCCAACTGAAAAATGAATTTGATCCTAGGACTCATACGATGCAGAGAGCACATTCACACCAATTGTCCTCTGATCTCCAAACACATGGCCCTATATATATGTGTGTGCGTACACATACACAAACATATACAATAAAAATTTTAAATAAAAGTTTAAACTAGGTCTGATTCTCCTCCTTCATACTCAGCAAGGAATTCCTTAAACCCAACTTAAGACTAAAACCTATCTTTCCTATCCTAGTCTACTGTCAAATGATTTAACTTTTGATTTTCTGATTTTACATTAAACAACTGTCTTCATGGCTTAAACACCCACAGACAGTCAAAGTAGTCAAGTTCTCTCCCTACCCTATGTGACACCTTGCATATTCTCTACTACTGGCTTGTTAGATTTACTCTTCCAGTCTAGGCACAAATATAATTTCCTCAGGGAGGTTTGCTATGTTCTTATTTAATCCAGGATTCTCCTTATTCTAAGGAGAATACTGACTTTTTCCTGCATAGTGCTTCTTTGGGATTTGTACTTCAATATTTGTATGATAATTTTTCAATATTTGTATGATAATTTGTTTACCATCAGTCTCCCTTGGCAGACCATTAGATCTATGAGGACAACTATTTTATCTGACTTATTAGCACTCATTATCCAGTGCTTTGCACTCCAGCGGTATTCAGTAACTGTTGAATGAACAGACTTTCAAAAAGTTCTTGATGCACCCTGCTATTGTCACACAGAATATATGTTTACCACTATTCTTGTAAGACAGACAGCAAGAAAATAGATTAGAAGAGGCTAAGTTCTTCATAGCAAATTATTTATTTAAAAACATACTTCTTACCTCTTCACACTTTTGTCTTTCCAATATGTTAAGCTGCCCCAAAGCATACTGGAAATGCCTCTGAAAAAAATAAATTTTATCAGTGATGAAGATGTATCTTTAAGGAAGAGAGAACCACAGAACCCATTTTGTCATATATTTGATAAGAAAGCTGTCAATTATAGGAAAACAATTTTTAGAAAAACTGGAGCACAAAACTACTGCCTAACCATCCAATTATACTTTATGTACTCTCTACAGCATTTTTTCTTGTCCTAAAATAAATGTGTGAAATATCTACATGATACATTTTTCCTAGTGTTGTATAAATTCTCCATTTCCCCTCAAGAACAGAACATTACTACTCCTAACACTGCATACAATACCACATATATGTAAATTTCACATATATCACAATAGTATCAGATATCTGAATCTTTCAAGATGTATCTATACTACTATCTTTGGCTATTCTAAAGGACTACAGCCAAAGTTGGTATAGCGCTATACCAAGCTGCTTCCTTTCGACAATTATTGCTCCACAAAAAGAAAGAAAGAAAGAAAGAAAGGAAGGAAGGAAGGAAGGAAGGAAGGAAGGAAGGAAGGAAGGAAGGAAGGAAGGAAGGAAAGGAAGAAAGAAAGAAAGGAAAGAAATCTAGCAAAGGATTCCCTTAGTGCTGTAGAATCACCTTACTACCAAGATGGGAGCAAACGTGACATAGCAATGTATTTTCCTTTCACTGAAACCTTGAAAATGTATATAAAAATATAAAAATTCACCCATGTTTCAGCATACATAAGAATTTTAAATTAATTTGGTCCTTTTTACTGAAACAAATATATACTGGTATAAACAGGTTTATTCTATGTATTGCCAATTACTATGGCTCCTCTTGGATCTTTAATTCTTTTTTTTTCTTTTTCTTTTCTTTTTCGATACAAGGTCTTACTGTATAACCCTGACTAATCTGGAACCTGTTATATAAACCAGGTTGTTCTGAAATTCACAGAGATTCACCTCTGCCTCCTCAGTACTGGGGATAAAAGGCATGTGCCAAAATACCCAACTAATTTTAATTTGTTATATAGTGGGAATGGTGAAAGGATCTATGTTTCAGGGACCTGAGGAGTAAATGAAACGATAATACATAACTCTTTTATTTATATAGTAAATGCTTAATATTGGTCATTATCTCAGGTCACCTGGTCCTGTTTCCTATAAAAATGCTTAGATTAAAAAAGTATTAAAATATAATAAAATAGGGATATTTTAGTAGAAGTTTCTAAAAAGTTACTTAGGTTTATGAGTGAACTACATAGTGATGGCATGAGTGGAAACACAGAGATGGAATTTTGAAAGTAAGATATCAGGGCGTCTAACAGTCAAGAACTTACCTTAAGGGTCAAGTTTTCCACATTCCTAAGGAGATCTTTCTGTCGTTGTGCTTTTTTATAAATCTTTTGGAGCTTCATTTCTTTGACATGAATCAGTTTCTGAATTCCTGTGACTGAAGAAGGTAGAGAAAGGATTTTTGTATTAAATCTAGCTTTAAATAATGGACCAAGTCACAAATCAAGTAAAACTCCAAGGACTAAAAGCTTCTGAAAACTAAGCATTGCATATAATGCATGTTCAGAGTTAGCCTTTTATACGACCACCCACCATAGCCAATTCCTTTGTCTTTTCCTGACTTACTTATTGAACTGTAATCTTTGTTGGTTTCACAGAAGCTAGGATGAATAAATTGGATTTGCAGCTCCCTTTCTAAATTCTCTTCACGACTGTCTATCTCCTTTTCTTCTTCTTCCTCTTCATCATCATCTTCATCATCTTCATCATCATCATCATCATCATCATCATCCGGATCCCCATCATTCTCCTTTTGATTGTCAACATCCTCCTCTTCAATTTTAGCACCCTTATCTTCCACATCATTACTGTTACTGCCAGAATCGCCAAACATCTCTCGAAGCATTTCATTTTCTATTGATTTTAAGCAAGGGAAAAATGAACCAATCTGAACCTTTGGAAATGACCATAACCCCAAATAGCAGTACATGCCTTACCATGAAGTTCACTGGAGAACCAGTGAATTGTATAAATTATTTTCCTATAGGGAGATTATTCCCTTTGTAAAATAAGGACAAGGAATATGAAACACCAACATTCACCCATGTTTTCAATTACCAAGATATCTAGAGAATCTAAGGATCCATAGGAAGTTGAATACAAGGGCATGCAGGAGATTAGAATTCCAGTTCTAAAACCCTAAAAGCATAGGAGGACCAATGAGGAAAAAGGACAAGGGCATCCTTTTTTTCTGTGATTGGTCTGTGAGTCTGTGGACCTGTCACACAATTAACACTTGGCCTTACCGGAAGTTCTTCCTCTACTTTCAATCAAGTACCTGATGAGCTAAGACCACTCATTTGTGCAATTCCTGAAATGCCTGAGATGCACCCTTGACTTTCTATTTCCTTGGATTCATCATCAGCAATGACTTCCCAGCCTGAAAATACAGTAGTCAAGGAAAAACCAGAAGAGAGAGCACACAGTTGAAATGGAAATGGCTCTTTAACTAAAAGTGCTATTATTATTTAATTTAGGTCAAATTTAGATCATTGTACCTGCATTCCTAGTGTGGAAACTGCCTTATATTAAATTACACACACATAAATACCGTTCTATTGTCTGTTTGCATTGACCATTTCTAGATAGAAAATAACATTTCAAAAATCTTAAATTGCCAGGTGGTGGTGCCACATGCTTTTAATCCCAGCACTCGGGAGGCAAAGGCAAGCAGATCTTTGTAAGTTCGAGGCCAGCCTGGTCTACAAGAGCTAGTTCCAGGACAGGCTCCAAAGCTACAGAGAAACCCTGTCTTGAAAAAACAAAACAGAACAAAACAAAAAAAAAAAACAAGCAAAAAAGTCTTAAGTTATACACATCAAAACTGGCACGTGAACACTAGAAGCGAGGGAGGACTAAAAAACATGCTGCTTAGTAGAGCAGGGCTTACCTAGAATAGCAAGGTTCTGAATTTGATACCAGTATCTCAAAGAAAAGCAAAACTCCCAACTAGAGGTGAGATTTGTCAGAACATGCACATGAGATGAAACAGACTATAAGGAAAATATTTGATATAAAGGATACGGATACTGACGGCTTCAGCATCTGAACACAGCAGTCTCTTCACTTCTTTATCCACATTTGGAGATTCAGTGTCCTGAAGCAATGTATGGAAGGAAATACCAGTAATGTCATTTAGCATCCAGTTTTATGTAAATACCTTTAACCTATATTAGTGAACTAAAATGATTGGGCCTTGTTAGATGCTCATCCAACAAAACTTCTGCTTAAATAGTGCTATTTATGAAGGAGCCTATCTAAAATCTGTATTTTGTATAATAAGTTCATTTTCCAAAATTAAATCACTTGAAATGTTTAATTTTATCTGTCTATAACTCTATGGACAAGAGTTTCAACATTTATGTTTCATTATTTGTCTTAACTCATTAGCAAAGAACAATAATTCCATGTTAGTTACTTACATAATTTGCTTTAAAATTCAAATTACTCCACTGCATTTTCTACCTAATTATTACAATGTTCCTGCAAAACTTAGATCCTATCTACATGTTCTCACTTGAATAGTTTTAAAAAATTACTCCACAACAATTAATTCCTCTTGATACAAATATAAACCTAGGCCTTTGATGAGAAATCCCATTAGTTCAAGCAAATGTTGGTAAGTTGAACCCTGAACTCCAAGGAATGGGTTTTGAAATGAAAATAAGGAGGGGAAAGCAGTTTGTAAAGCATGGAAACACTAACATAAAAGTTGCTATTGGACATTAAATAATTAGTTCCCAGTGAATAAAATCCAGTGTATGTATGTATGTATATGTGTGTATATCTGTTTATATGAAGCATATGAAAATAAACAATGAAGATTATGACCACTTCTATACCTCACGCAAGCCAACTGCATCCACTTGTTTGACATCAGGAAGCTATGAAGTAAAACACAACAAAGAGCAACGTCATATTTTGATTTCTCTACTTAAGTCCAGCTTAAAGAGCTCTATATTTAACCACTTTTATATTTAGCAGACAATAAATTTTATTGACTGGCATGTTACTAAGACAAAGTTAACACATAAATTAGGAAAGTTAGTCTACAACTTTAGTGCAGTTTTTTTCAAAATTTTGACAAGGTTTTCTGTATACATATACAAGCTCATTCTAAAATTCATATGGAAGGATAGCTATTCTAAACATTTTTAAACAATATTGATGAAGCAAAATTAAGTGGTAGCAATCAATCTTCTGATTTCAAGACTTACCACATTACAGTATCTGTGGAGAGATTAACAGATGGATCAGTGGAACAGAAAAAAGAACCCACAAACAGTACCATACAACTATTCCCAAGGAAGAGGTGAAGGAGAAGGAGAGAATAGAAGAATGGGAGAAGGGGGAATCTTGAATTAAAACTCTTTCTTTAATAAAACTGAAATATGGATCACAGGCATAAATATAAAATCTTCAGTATCTAGGCTAAGCAAAGACTCCTTATATTTAACAACAAAAAAATCAAAATCTTTAAACCAAAAATATCAATAAATTAAACTTCATCAAAACTAAAAATCTTGCTTTCTACAAGTTCTTGTGAAGCAAACTAAAAACTCAAGCTATCAAACATGAGAAGGTATTAAACAATGCATACATGATGAAAGACTAGTATACAGACTAGAAAGAGAATTCTTTGAACTTAACAATAAAGTCATTTTAGAAAACGGTCAGGGGGCTGGAGAGATGGCTTAGAGGTTAAGAGCACTGACTGTTCTTCCAGAGGTTCTGAATTCAATTCCCAGCAACCACGTGGTGGCTCACAACCATCTGTAATAAGATCTAGTGCCCTCTTCTGGCCTGCAGGGACACATGCAAACAGAATGCTGTATACACTACATAGTTAATAAATCCTTTAAAAAGAAAACTGTCGCTCTTTCTCAGACCAGGTGGCCTCAGCGGTGAGCAACGCAGCTATGGCCAAGATTAAGGCTCGGGACCTACGCGGCAAGAAGCAGGAGAAGCTGCTAAAACAACTGGACGATTTGAAGGTGGAGCTATCCCAGGTTCGCGTTGCCAAGGTGACAGGAGACTCTGCGTCCAAGCTCTCCAAGATAGGAGTTGTCTGCAAATCCATCGCCCGCGTTCTCACCGTCATTAACCAGACTCAAAAGGAAAACCTCAAGAAATTCTACAAGGGCAAGAAGTACAAGCCTCTGGACCTGCGACCCAAGAAAACTAGAGCCATGCGCTGCCGGCTCACCAAGCATGAGGAGACAAAAAAGCAGCAGGGGAAAGAGAAGCTGTACCTGCTATGCAAGTATGGAAGGGCAATAAAGTGCAAGACTGGCAAAAAAAAAAAAAAAAAAAAAACCATTGTCAAAAGAAGCTCAGTGTCGTAGTGCATTTCTTTTTGCAATCCCAGAAGTTAGACAATGAGGCAGGAGCATTGCTGCAAATTCAAGGCCATTATCTATCCAAAAGATATAAATTAACACCACATTAAAATCACTACACACTTATAAGAATGGCTAAAATAAGAAAATGACAAGACCTAATGCCGACAAGGAGGTAAAGAATTTATATCATTCATATTTTATCAGTGTTAATATAAAATAATACTCCCTCTAAAAAAGTATGGCAGTGTCTTACAAAAACTTAAAATTTTTTGTTTGTGGCTAGTGAAGTGGCTCAGCATTAATATGCTTGCTGACCTGAATTTGATACTTAGAATTGATTCAAGTTTTCCTGTGAGCTCCATTTGTTGCACATATGCATGCACACACACTAAATGAATGTAAATAAAATTTAAAAGCTAATGCTTGGCAAGAGACATGTCTCAGTTGGTAAAGACCTCCTTTATGTGCGCTAAGTTCTGGGATTAATCCTTAGCAATATATAAAACAACGTATGTTAATAGGTGCCTGTAATCCCAGCACTTGAGATGCTGGTGGTGGCAGGAAGATTAAAAATCATAGGTGACCACACAGCAAGTTCAATGCAAGCCTGGACTATATCAGAAAGACCCTGATTCAAAACATATTTTTATAAACCTGCCACTTGGCGCACTATAGAGATCAACCAGTGGTTAAGGGAACCTGTTGCTCTTACAAAGTACTTGGGGGTTTCAATTCCTAACAACCACTTATGGTTAATCACAACCATCCTTAACCCAAGTTCCAGACTATCCAACAAGCACTCATGTGGTACACTCATGTGCATGCAGGCAAAACAGTCATAGACATTAAGTAAAGTGAATAAAAATCTTTTAAAATATACCACTGTCATATGAATCAGAATTATTCCTGAGTATTTATCCTGGAGAAATTAGGATTTAAGTTCACACAAAAAATCTACTCACAATCTTACTTATAACTGTCAAAAAGTAGAAACAATACAGTTATGTTTTAATGGGTAAACAGTTGAACACACTGGTATATTCACACCAGAAATGCAATTCATTAATATGTCATTCTTAGATTATATACTGCATGTTCAATGTACAGAAGATCATAAACATAAAAAAACTACAGAGATGAAGAAAAGATTTTAAATTGCTAGGCACTAAAGACCAGGAGTGTAAGGCAGGAAGAAAGTGTAAATCTTTCTTTCTTTCTTAGAATAAGAAAATCTCACTATGTATCCCATGCCCTGATACTGGCAATGTCATCCAAGATTTGGACAACAGAAGGCAATCCTCTTGCTGCAGCTTCCCAAATGTTGAGATCACAAGTAACCAACATGCCTCGCTTTAAATCTACAGCATCTGAAAACTAAAAGCATGAGCTGCAATGTCCAGTTCATGATTCTTCTGAATCCCTAACAACGAGACTATAACCTAAAGAAGTGGTTCTGGTTTTAGTCACTGCTGTAGCCCCAACTGCTAGCTCATAATGCTGTGGATTGTGCATATTTTAATTTTTTTACATTTTGAGTCAAGGTCTGTAGCCAGGGATTGTCTTAAACTCACGATCCTTCTGCATTAGCCTCCAAGTGCTGAGATTACAGTTAGGTACCACCACATCTGGTAGGCATTATTGAACATATAAATGAATCAGTGAATTCCCAACTGACTTTCTACCTTTCTTTCTCCCTCATAGTCCTCTCCTAAGTCATCCAGCAGAAACACAAATGACATGAAACTAACCTTTTTTCTTATTCTCCGGAACCTTTTCTTTCTGACATTCTTAAGTGGTGGAGTAACTAAAATAAAAACATAATGAAATATGTCATGTGACTTATGACTGTCCTATATCTACATGAATTTGATGAAGAAATATGTCATGCTCATAGTATGACTTATTTCATCAAAAAGAAGAAGTTAATGAACCAGGTAAGAGGTCCCTGATTCATAGAGATTTGCAATTCAAATGATAAACGTAGTCAGCCATAATGAGCAAGAGATTGGTGACTTACTGCCATGCTTCCAGTTGTATCTTTTTCTATCTGTCTTCCCTCCACCCCTTCCAGTTACAGTAGTATGAGCAGAGGTAACTGGTTCTTCTGGGGAAGAGTGAGGCTCACCATGAGCACTGCATACAAGCATCTATATTTAGCAAAGACAAAGACGTTTACTATTGCCCCAAATATTGTTCAGTAATAAATCATAAACATACCACCAGAAATAGGGAGCACAGATGATTCTTGGCTTCCCAAAACCAAGTACAATGTAATATAAATTCAAATTCTTTTATATATCCCTTTCCCATCCTCCCTTCCTTCCCTCTTCTCCTTCTCTCCCTGCAGCATGATATATAGATTTGACTTTTACCTAGTGTATACCACTGCAGAAGCAATAGCATGAAATGTATACATTTTAGCATTTTCATTTAGAGAGGAAATGAGAAAGCAACAGTAGAGATGAGAAGTAAGTAACTTTTTTCAGAATTAACACACTGCTCTAGAAAAAAGTGCAGAAAAAGACCTTAGTCGTTTATATTTTAAAATAAATGAAAGTCACTATAAGTGACAAACAGCAGAAGTCTGTAAAAGTGAAGAAATAAAAAGTTAAGAATCAAATACAAAACCAGGGCATGACTTTATGTTCCCGTGCAATTGATCTGGTGATTATAAATGGTAAATAGTCATTTACCAAGTGGAACTGAATGCTGGCAGAAAAACTAAAGATTCCACAAAGGGTACGAGAACCAGAGGATGAAGAAAATCAAACCAGTGATGGTGATATAGCTCAATGGTAGGTAGAGCACTTGTCTGGCATGCATGAGGACCTGGCTCTGGTCCTCGGCACTAATAAACCAAACAATATTTTGTGGATCTGGGGATATATCACTCAGTTGGGTAGAGTGCTTATCTAAAATGCTCAGAGCCCTAGGTTTGGTCCTCAGTAAACTTAAGAGTGTGGAAAGGAATGCCTGTAAGCCCAGCACTTGGTAGTTGAAGACAGAAGGATTCAAAGTTTAAAGTCATCCTCAGCTACATACTCAGTTTGAAGTTATCCTGGGATATATGAGACCATGTCTCAAAAAATTCATACCTGAGAAATATCTGCTGTTTTATAAAATGTTTTTCTATCAACGGTTTTCAGGCTTCCGATAACACAAGGCAAATTAACCAGCTTAGCAGACAGTGAGACATCTTCTACCTGAACAACTGCATGATGTCCATCAGCTAAAGGAAAGTAGAGAAAATTAATATTGACATTCCAATGGTCTGTTCAGTCTCCAACAAACTGAATAAGGAAGACTTATGCAGGACAGAAAAGTTTTTTGACAAAACTTAATTATTTTTGAAAGACCAGAAATCAATATCCAGAAAAAGAAGAGAGTATCTACAGCTTGTTTTTACATACTGTATGTTACTAGTTCAAAAATATCTAAGTTTCTTTCTAATGGTAGCAAAGGTGAGAAAGACAACAACTGCTTTCTTGTTATCTCCAAAAGCAAATTTCATTCATTTAAACACATTCCTTAAAAAAAAGCATTTGATTGTAACATTGTGTATGTATGTTTTCTAAAGGTTAAAACCATAACATACTTTTATTTTTTCATACCTTTAATGCCTAGTATAGTGCCTTTCACGTAACAATCTGTAGCAAATTACTGTTTTGTTTAATATATTGTGAATTGATATTAACTACTTACGGGCAAAGCCAATTTTTAGTTTATCCTTCATGCCAGGACCTCTAGAATGTATAATCTTCCTGACAGCATAAGCCTGTTCCTAAAAAGGAGGTAAATTAAAAATCAGAAAGATTGTCTAAGAGTCTTCCTTAAACAAAACCTTACATTTTCCAAATGTTAATTATGCTATGTACCATGAAAGCCCATGAATTGTATAAATCAAATTAAATGAATTCAACTCAAATTTCATCACTATCTTTTAGAAACTACACTTTGTGCCTTCTCCCAATTTTTCAGTTCCACTTCTTACTGCTTATCCTTCCATTGTAGTTGCTTAGAAAGTGCATTAGCTATAGTTTACTAGATATGTTGATTAACTATATTGATAATAACTTTCTGACCATCTCTATTATAGCCTCCAAAATGAAATAATACTCAAACACGGTTATTAATGGGGAAAGAGAGTCAAGCCTAAAGTTTAAATGAGTTTGACAACCTTGCTTGGTGATGAATTTGCAGTTGACAGTGGTAGTGCCTCCACCCAACTCTTCTGAGATGACAGACAGAATTTTAGAACAGTCTTACCTTGGCTGTCCACAAAATTGGCTGTAAATGACTGTGCTAAATGACTGGATGATTCATAATTGTCATTGTCATAGTTGTTTTGACAGAGAATTAACCCATATGATTGACGGTATATACAGGAAGAAAGAAATATTGTGAGAAGAATTTGCACTACAATAGGACTGCTAATAGAACATGATTTCTGGGAAGCAAAGGTTGTGAGTTTTTATATCCTGAAATGCTAGTGTTGCCTAAGCAGAACTACACTTTTGCACTGAAGATATTCATTCTGAGATATAAACGTTACTTACCTGAGGCAGACGCAATATAAACTGTTCCTCAGTATCTTGGGATTCGTCATGCTTTAAAGTCATAGCTTTTTTTTGAGTTCATAAAAACAAAGAAAACAAAGTCACTACAAACTCTTGCTCACTCTGCTGACCATCTCTGATTATATTATATAAGATCTTACCCATAATTCTCATTGAAAAGAAGTGCATATAGTTTAGAAATACTTTGACATCTTGATTTCTAAAAGTCATCATTTCCAAAGTCAATTCAAATTACACGATGTAACTTGACAAATTAATTAAGCTTTTGTGAAACATGGTTTAATATTTTTGGAAAAATTCTTGTACTGTCAAATAAAAGAGTAAACTTCAGCTAAATGGCCTCTGTAAGGTTGAATGTAAGCCAAAGAATGAAACCAACCCAGAACTTATATGCAGACATACTAATTTCAAGTGCACAAATACTTAATTTTCAATATTTAATTCACCCAAATAAACAGTAGTAATTAGGAAGTCCATGGAATAGCAAGAAACTTGTTATGGCTCAATTGCAATGGCTGAGCACTTCCTTTGGAGGAAGGTGTCCCATGCTTATATATATAGACCATGTACACTAGCTTCATGTAATAGATAAATTCTTTAAAAGGGTGATATGAATAGGACACAAAATCTGATTTTATTTATTAATTACCATGACTAATTGTCATGCATTCTGTCCCTCAGACTTACTAACTTAGGTGCTGTAGATATGTCCTTTCATTTAATCCTTAAAGTCATAAGATTTCTATAAGAATATTTAAAATAATCTTAAGATAGATTTGTCTCAATACCTCATGCATGTTTAGTATGTACTCAGCACAAGAGGAATATTTTCTTTTAAGAATATATATTATGTAAAATGAATAGTCTAATCCAAATTAGAGGGATTTCAGACCAATCATGTGTACCTTATACAGTAAGTTAGGGTAAAAGCTCTAGTTCATGCACATCCCTAAATACTATGTAAATCATTATCTGGGACCTGAGTTTTAAATCCAAATCTTTCTTAAAAGCATATATGCTTTTAACACATAGGAACATGGGACTCTTTTAAGGTGCTTTGGTTAAAGCACTTAGTATAATACTGGGAAAGGGAGGGTTAAATGGGGTGGGGATGGGGAAAGAGGATAAGACAGGATGGGGAATATGGAGAAAGGTAACTAACACTAAAGATATTTTGGAAAAGACGTATGAAAACCTACTTCTGCAGAAGCTTCCTAAATTATATAGGTAACATAAATAAAAAGAGTTTAACAGAAGATACCCTATAGTAGGAGACAATACCTCAATTTGAAATCACATGCTTACAAATAAAAACCTCAGTACCAGAAATTGGTTACCTCTTTTTGGTTTGCTGACAAATGGGGGTCCCATAGACCCCCAAACAACAAAGGGTACTGCAAAATGCCCTTGGTTACCCCCCCGCAAGGATTTGGTGGCAAGGCCCTATTGCTGAATACACTATATACTTGATCATAAAAATGGAGACAGTTCAGATTATCTAGAACCTTCAACCCACTGGCTAGCTTTCATAGTGCTGCAAGGTGTTATGCACACCACCAAAGCAGAAAAATAATGTCATCCAGCTATGAATCCTGCAAGCTACAATGACAATTGTTCTGACAAGATAAGCCCACTTGTACAATGGGCATAGCCCACCATTCTCTGATTTAATTTAAAGATTGCTCTATGAAATAAGAACCCATAATTGGCACTGTTTAGGAGGCAAAGAACCTTTGATGAGCTACATCACAGACCCTCCAGCAAGACGATATCCCAGCATGGAGTTTGAGGAGGTGGGCATTCTGTGGTTGTTGGGAGAAGAGTCAGTTTTCTTTAATGCTGTGACAATTGGCGGGTTGAACACATCTCGGGGAAGACCCTATTCCCAAGAGTAGGTAGGCAATACAAATCAGACTCCAGCGATTTTTTTTTAAAAAAAAGTTTACAAAATTAGGTCTGTAGGGAGGTAAGAGAGAATCTAATAAGAGTTGGAGGAGGTGTAAGAATATGAACAAAATACATGTATAGAATTATCAAAATATCGGTAAAAATATTTTTTAAATTAATTCTTTAGTGTAATTTTGGAAATTATAATTATATAATAATAATTACTGATTTCCATAGTGACTGTACTAGTTCATATCCCACCAGAATGAATGAAGTTTCTCTGCAACATTTGCTTTCTTGATGGCAGTCATTCTGACTGAGGTGAGATGGAAACTCAAAGCAGTCTTAATTTGTGTTTTCCTGATGGCTAAGGGTGTTGAACACATTTTCAAGTATTTATTAAAATTTTTATTAAAATTCCATTATGTATATGTTTTGTTTATAAATACATATACATGTGTACAAATAATGAAAATTAAGCATAGAGTGCATGTGATCATAACCATATACATATACAAACATGTCAACAAACCCCTTTGCAAAATTAGTACACATTTATGCACAATTTTAAAGTAAAAAGTATATGAAATAATCTTGGGGCTAGGCATACCATGAGAGAAGACAGAAAACACTGAAGACTGGGAGTACAGTCACAGAGTTTAAGGAAAAATTTGCTAAGCAAGATTTTATCAATCAGTAGTATGTTTTAAACTTCTCAACAGAACTAAGATTAGGTCATTTCGCTCATTTTAATGACTTTTTGATAAATCCTCTTTTATAGAATGAAAACTTTAGGAACTCAAACTATTTCAAAGCATTCCCTTGCTAATAGCCCCAGTAAAAAGGTTTGATGGGGGGGAAGGTGAAACACCTAGTTGAAAGGAGTATTAGTAATTTAAAAACAAAAACTTAAAGAAGTGAATCCGCTTTTTCCCCAGAAATAGTCATTTTTCTTAGTTTGTTTTTTAAAATTCCGTGAGGAGCTCTTGGCTGCCTACTGAAATGAGCAGGTCAGTGTCCACCCAAGCATGTCTGGCTTAGCTCCCTCGGGCAGGAGAGTTGGAAGGACGCACAGCAGGCAGCACAGGCCGGCGGGACTGTACTGCTGCCTTCAGAGACAGAAACTGCCCGGTGGTCTTTCCCTGTGACCAAACAGAAGACTTCTGCTGTGGCCGTTCCTGCTCATTCGTGCTCAAAGAGCCCCTGCACAGCCACCTAAGCCTTAACACCTCACAACTGGTCGGGATGAGACTAGACACCGTGGCGACACCTTCCCACCTTCCCGGAGCCCGCGATCCTGCAGCGCGGCAGCTGGCCAGGTACCTCGCCACCTTGCTGCCTGGGATCCACAGCCCGTAGAGCACCTGGTGAACCTGAGGCGTGCGCCGCCAGGTCCCGGGCTGCCAGGTAAAGCCGAGGCCCCGCCCCGCCCCGCCCCGCCCCGCCCGCGGAGGGCTCCGGCCTCGATGCCCGGGCCATGTGCGTGCGGGCTTCACTGCAGCCTACTAGACAAAGCGGTCGTGGTGCCCACCAGGGCCCTTGGGGCCCCAGAGCTCACCCACTCACACCCGCGGGGGGGGGCGGGGGAGTGAGGCCGCCCACCGCTCCGGTGCTGGGATGCCAGCACCCACACAGAATGGGGTGGCACACGTGCTTAGTCCCCCGTCTGAGCCCCTGTCACTAGGCCAGCTCCCCCGAGGGCCCAGGCTGTTGGCCGGCCCGGCCCCCCCCCCCCCCCCTCAGCACGGCCTGCTATAACTGTCCCTCCCAGGGTCTGGGCTGCAGCTTCCGCCTTTCCCTCCACTGTCACTTCTCAGGGAGCGGGCAACCTTTCAGGGTTCACCAGTTCCTAAATTTGTAAGGGGGCAAACGCCCCCCTGCCTAGGCCCCAAACTGACTGGCCAGGTCTGGGCACTGCTGAGAGCGGCCGCCATGATGTTCGGTCGCGGCCATCACGGGAAGGGGGGGGTGTGTGACATGGCCGCTTCCCGAACATTCTCCTAACAGGTGTCACGCTTCTCAAGACCTTTCGGGGTGCGCGAATCCCCCTTTTGCCGATGTGCCACCCACGTGGCAGCTAGGAAAGAACGCCCCCTCGGGCCACACACTAACTGGCGGGCCACGCGGCCGTGACTTGGTTACAGTAGCGAGGCTGCTGCTCCTAGGAGGGACTTTCCATCCCTGAGCCTCGCGAGTCTCCGCCTGGGCGGCAACAGAGACGCCCCCCTGCCGAGGCCCCACGCCACCACCTGCAGTGCGTGTGGTCCACAACCCCCTCACTGCCCGCGCGCGCCCCAAGTGTCCCACCCTGTCTGCTGTGGCCTGCACCTGCCACCACGCCTAGGGGACCCTTTTGGGCCTCACGAGTCCCCGCTGCCGAGGCCCCACGCTGACACCCGCGGTGCCGTTAGTGGTCCCACCGGGGCCCCAAACTGCCCGGCTGTGGCCGGGCTCTCCTCAGAGCCCGCGGCCATTTCTTTCTGTCACCGAGGTCCTGTCACACCTCAGGGGACCTCGAAGGGTCCCCGAGACCCGTCCCTATCCCCACCCCCTTTCTGAAAAACTAAGTTCCAAAGCCACTCACCTCGCAGGGCCTTTAAGATATTGCTGCTGCTGGGAAGCCCGCCGCCACGGTTTCCCTGGAGCCCGGGCTGGCAGCCGACCGGCCCCTCAGGGCCGCGAACCCCAGGGCCGCCAATCCCGGGACCCCGAGCCTCAGGGCCGCGAACCCCACGGCCGCCAATCCTGGGACCCCGAGCCCCAGGGCCGCGAACTCCAGGGCCGCGAACTCCAGGGCCGCGAACCCCAGAGCCGCGAACCCCAGGGCCGCGAGAACCGGGTCCCCGAGCCTCAGGGCCGCGAACCCTGGAACCCCGAGCCTCAGGGCCGCGAACCCTGGAACCTCGAGCCACAGGGCCATGAACCCTGGGACCCTGAGCCTCAGGGCCGCGAATCTCGGGACCGCGAACCCCAGGACCCTGAGCCTCAGGGCCGCGAATCTCGGGGCTGCGAGCCACGGGACCCGGAGCCTCGGGGCCACAAATCTTGGGGCTCCAAACCACAGGCCCCGGAAACTCGGGGCCGCGAATCTCGGGGCTGCGAACCACGGGACCCAGAGCCTCAGGGCCGCGAATCTCGGGGCTGCGAATCACGGGGCCCAGAGCCTCAGGGTCGCAAATTTCCGGGCCACAAATCTCGGGGCTGTGAACCACGGGACCCAGAGCCTCAGGGCCGCGAATCTCAGGGCTGTGAACCACGGGATCCCGAACCTCAGGGCCGCGAATCTCAGGGCTGTGAACCACGGGACCCCGTACCTCAGGGCCGCGAACTTCGGGGCCATGAACCCTGGAACCGCGAGCCCTGGAGCCGCGAGCCCTGGGGCCGCGAGCCCCGGAGCCACGAGCCCTGGAGATGCCACGAGCCCCGGAGCCGCGAGCCCTGGAGCCCTGAGACCCTGATTCGCGAGCCCTGGAGCCCTGAGACCCCGATTCACGAGCCCTGGAGTCCTGAGACCCGGATTCGCGAACCCTGGAGCTGCCTCGAGACCCGGAGCCTCGAGACCCTGAGCCGCGAGCCCTGGAGCCGCGAGACCCGGAGCCTCGAGACCCGGAGCCTCGAGCCCTGGAGCCGCGAGACCCGGAGCCTCGAGACCCGGAGCCGCGAGCCCCGGAGCCGCGAGCCCTGGAGCTGCGAGCCCTGGAGCCATGTGCCCCTCTGCTGTCAGATGTGGCCGCAGCTCCATCAGCACCCAGGCCGGCAGCCTGGGGCTCCCCGGAGCCCACATCTTCAGAACCGGCTGCTGGAGGGGCTTCAGGAATATCGGGGGGCCTGGCCTCAGCGAGAGCTCCCTCAGCGTGTGCTCCCTCTCCGCGCTCCATGGCTCACACTGCCTGGGGGAGTCAAGGGGGCAGGGCTTAAAATGGCGTCGAGCTTTGTCACGTTTTGTGACACGTTCCGGAACGTTCATGAAATTATGCAAACGTACACGCCCCTTAAAGAGATAGTGACCCTAAAAAGACGCTTTGCTGCCTATCAAAGTTTTTTATAAATTCTCTACTGTTTAACACTAATCAAAGCTTAATTTTAAGGAGTGAGTGCTTTTCTGAAAGACTTGGACAAACATTTCTTCTAGATACATATTTTTTATGTTCAATAAAGCTACATTATCAGCACTTTAAACCTTCAAAAAGAAGTTTTGGTGCATTTTGGTGTCCACCAGTGTACTTTATGATTGCTGCTAGAACACTCAAAACAAAATTTGCAATCTTCCTCCAAAATACTGAACCTGGGCCAGGAAAGATGGCTCTAACAGAGGACCACACTTCAGCACCCACATCACATTGTGAGAAACCATCTGCAATTCCAGTTCCAACAGAGATCTGATACCTATGGCCACCAGGATACCAGCATTTATGTGTATATAGAAACTCAATAAGAAATATACAATTAAGGGGTTGGAGAGATGGCTCAGAGGTTAAGAGCACTGAATGCTTTCTCAGAGGACCCAGGTTCAATTCCCAGCATCCACACGATAGCTCACAACTTTCTGTCACCCCAGTCCCATGGGATCCAACACCCTCACACCAATGCACATAAAATAAAACTAAACAAATTATTTTAAAAAGAAATACACAATTGAAAAATAAAATCTTAAAAATAAAGTCCTGAACATTATTGGAAGTTGCTGACCATTCTCTTCACTTTCCTTATTTGCTATATTCATGTACAGTAACATTGAAAACTACTCAAAACTTTTTTTAAAAAGAAACAACTATAAATGTTAGATAAATAGTGCTCTAGCAAAAATGTCTGATGAACTATTCTTTGAATAGAAAAGGGAGACTGTAGTAAATTTTCTAATAAATTTAATAGTTCTAAAAGTATTAAATGAGAATTTATTTTAGTAGCATAGTAATTGTATATATTGTAATGGATTGCATTATAACATTTTGAACATAAATTTACATACATTGATTATTTTCACACCCTCTAGTATTCTTTCTCGTCCATCTTACTCTTTCTACTTTGCCCCTTTTACTTTTTTTCAAAGCAGAATATAATTTTTATTAACTTTTTCTTTAAATAAATTTTAGGTTGGCATACTGGCATTTTCATACATGTATGATATTATACACTGACTCATTTGCTCACTTCCCCCTGACTTTCCTCATATCTTCTATGCACCCCACTGGTTCCCTTCCTTTGTAGATTTAGTTATTTTATGTGTATGAGTATTTTGCTTGCATGTATGTACACCACATGTGTGCCTGGCACTCAGCAGATTTCCTGGAACTAAAGTTACAGACAATCGTGAGTCACCACGTGTGTTTTGGAAACTGAATCCAGGCCCTCTGCAAATGTTCTTAACTGCTAAGCCATTTTCCCAGCCCTTTATACACTCTTAAATCTAGGTTCTGTACATAAATATAAACATGTGGTGTTTGGTATTTGTCTGACTCTGAATGATTTCACTTTACATAACGATCTCCAGTTGCATTCATTTTCCTGTAAATGTCATGATTTCATTTTGTTATTACATGATCTCGTTTTTATTAAAAATATATTTTATTTTATTTTATAATGAGTAAATAAAATTCCATTATCTGTATGTACCACATTTTATTCACTCATCTATTGATAGACATCTAGGCTGATTCTGTTTCCTGGCTGTTTTGAATAATGCAACAATAAACCCAAGTATCATGTTGACTTAGTCTTTCAAGTATATATCCAAGAGGGGTATATTTGAATGGTAAGATATTTCAGTGTTTAGTGTTTTGAGAAAAGTCCTCACTGGTTTCTATAGTGACTGTGAACTAGTTTATATCCCACCAGAATGAATAAAAAGATTTCTCTGCAACATTTGTTTTCTTGATAGCAGTCATTCTGAGAATTGGTGTTCTTGCTCCATCATGTGGGTTCTGAGATCAAATTCAGGTCATTGGGTTTGCCAGCAAGCACTTATACCTGCTGAGCCATCTTGCTAGGCCTATCCTAGATATTTTAAATAACTCCCTTTTTTGCAGTACCAAAGATTGAACCAGAACTTTGTACATGCCAGGCAAATGTCAAACACTGAGCCACTACCCTAGACCTTTTCCTTCCATGACCTTTTTTCCACTCTAAATTCTACATATTCAAATAAACACTTAAACATGAGACACTTGCCTGTTAGGTTGAGTTATGTCTTGCACATCATAATGTCTCCAGCCCCATGCTTTTTTATATGAAAGATGTAATTTTGTTCTTTTTGAGAAGAAACACAATTCCATATTGTGTTATACGTTCTTTGTGCATTCATCTGTTTAGGGGCTGATTTTGCCACTTGGACGTTGGGAATAGCAGTAAACATGAACATACAGCGAAATCTAGATTAAAGTGACCTGAGTTTTGATGGATCTACATACTTATTTCTATGGTGTCCATACTAATGACTATTAATATAAAGGTTTGGGTTCATTTTTCCCTACATCCTTTCCACCATGTGTTGGTTTTTGTTCTCTTTAACTTTTGAGGCATGATCCCACTAACTATATAGCTCAAATGTACTTCAGATTTGTTATGAAGCCAAGGCTGGCTTTGAATTCAGTCCTTCTACCTCTGCTCAGCATAGCTGAGTTTCTTTTTCCCAAGACAGGGTTTCTCTGTGTAACAGCCCTAGCTGTCCTGGAACTTACTATGTATATATACTAGGCTGGCCTCGAACTCATAAAGATTCACCTACCTCTGTCTCCCAAGTGCTGGGATTAAAGGCATGCATCACCACCGCCTATCTTGGAGCTGAGACTTTATGTTGTACTTTCTTGTTATTGCAGTACAGGGGAATTGAACTTAGGTCATCATACATGTAGCTGCTTGTCCAGTCCTCTTTTTACTTTCTACTTTGAAACATGGTCTTACTAAGTTGCTAAGCCTGAACTGAACTCACTCTGGAGTTCAGACAAGCTTTGAACTTGTAGTCTTACTATCTCAGCTCCCTGAGTAGGCCATTTTGTACTTTCTCTTGTTGACAGGAATTCTCACTAGGGTGAAATGGAATCTCAATGTAGTTTTGATTTGTATTGCCTTAGCAAGTAAAGATGATGCACTCTTTTCGTGTATTTATTGGCCATTTCTGTGTCTTTATTTAAAAAGTATTTGTTTAATTCATTTGCCATTTATTGATTTGTGTTTTATTGTTGTTGCTGTGTTCTTTTGACATATAATCTCTTGAACTCCTTTATCTTCTGGATAATAGCTGACAAAACTTTCTTCCATTTTAAGACTATCACCTCACTCTACTAATCCATTTTGAGAAGGTTTTAAATTTTATGTTTGTCATTTGGCAACTCTTGACAGTATTTCCTGAGCTATTGAAGTCCTGTTCTGAAAACATTGCCTGTGTCTACATTGCAAAGTTCCTTCGTTTTGCTCTAGTAGTTTCAAACTTTCAGGATTTACATTAAAATATCAGGGGTATTGTAGTTGTCTGTTTTTGCTGTTATTTTTATTTTTAATGTATATTATTTAACCAATTCTTTGAGAATATATCACAATGTATTTTAAGGATTCAATTTTTTTTTACTATTTTATCTCTTTAAGTGGTTTTCTCCATGTATCCCATGTGTTTGTGTGTGCATGCATTCCTCATGTCAATAGAAGTCAGAAGAGGGTGTAGGATCCCCTCAAACTAGAGTTACAGATGATCGTGAGCCTCCATGTCGGTGCTGGGAACTGAATCCAGGTCCTCTATAAGAGCAGTCAGTGCTCTTAACCATTGAGCCATCTCTCCAGCCCCAAGGCTGCCTCTTTTAATTTTGATTTGAGACTTAAGGTGTCTTACATTGATTTAATTAAGCAATTATGAACTAATCTCCCTTCATCTTAGTGGTTTGCTAAGTTACTAAGGCTTGATTCTTTCTACTTCTCATTTGTTTGCTCTTCTAGTAAGAGGCATTCATTTGAGTGCTGTGCCTCTGTGTGGACTCCCCACCTTCTCAGTGTGGTGCTTCTTTAAACTAATCCTGTCGTACTAGGTTAGCTAGTTGTGTGCTGCTTTACTTTGTGCTAATCATGGAAAGTCCTTATTTCTTCGTCCATCTCAAAGGATCACAGCTCTGGTTGTAGTAATATTGACTGACATCTATTTTCTGTCAGAGGTTGAGATATAGCACTCGATGATTTACTGGCTTTAAAACTTTTGCCCGTGAAGTCCGTTGTAGTTCCTTTGTAGGGAACTTGTCACTCTTCTCTTGCAGCATTCACTACACTTTTTTAAATACATTTTTAAAGATGATATATTTATAAGTGTTTTGCCTACATATAAGAATTCCTGGTGCCAGCAGGAAGTCAGAAGAGAGTATTGGCTCCCCAGAATTGGAGTTATGAATGGTTGTAAGCCAACATGTGAATACTAGGAACAGAACCCAAGTCCTCTGAAAGATCCATAAGTGTTCTTACCCACTGAACAATCTCTCAAGCCCTCAACTAAAGTTTTAAGTGTGTGTGTGTGGTATGATTGTGTGGTGTATGTGCATACCAGAATATGAAAGCAAAGATCAGAAAATAACTCTGTGGAGGTGATCCACTTTTTTATCCTTACAAAAGTTCTGAAAATTGAACTCAGTTTTCAGAATTCACAGAAAGTGCTTTTAGCTACCAAGCTGTCTTGCCAGCCCCTCAAATGAAGTTATTAAGTGACTTAATGAGCTCTTTATTTCCAAGAGTTCTGTCTGTTCCTGTCACTATCTTTCTCTGCTGAATTCCTCACTCATATCCCTCATTATCTTCTTTATTTTACTCATCTGTTTACCTGCATTTTCTCAGATTTCAGCTAGTTTTTAAATTATCATTCTTTTGGAACGTTTATCAGGCACTTCATCTTCTTCAATACCTTTGGAGTCTGTTACTAAAGAAGTATAAATGTTAGGAGTTTTCATATTGCCTTCTTTTTCATATTTCTTGTGCTTATGTGTTGAAATGTGCACACCTGTTGGGCTATTTCTACCGAATTTATGTGGTGTACTTCCTAATAAGCGGCTTTCCCCTAGACAGTGTACCTGAGGTATTGGTATTTTGTGTAATGCTGAGATTGTTCCTACCTGGGCATTCTAGTGTGAGTTCCTATGGCATCTTTGGACGTGATTAGGGATTTGGGAACAATGTACACTATGCTGGAGTCTGCAAGACCACTGTCTATGTAGGTCTTGCAAGAATGGAGATACTCTCATAATCAAGCAAGCACAACATAAGCAGCAGTATTGTGGGGTGCCGTCACTCTGAGCACTTCAGTTACAGAAGTGGTGACCTCTAATAGGTGACAGAGGTTTCCAAAGACACTATTGATATTGGTACTGACATTTGAAAGAGTTTCTGATATGGGATGTATCAGTTGTGAAGGACCTTGAGCTCTTGTCTTCTGATTATACACAGAAACACATTCAAGTATTTCTTGTGTAAAGTTGGGAGTCTGGAGCCTGAATCCTTCTTACATCTACTCTGTAACTGTGTCAACAATACAGTTTTATGGGATACAGGTTTAGCCAATGAAAAGACCCATGCAAATATACTGCAATCAAAAGTTATGTCATTTAAGCCAGGCTTGGTGGCACATATCTTTAATGTCATCACTGGAGATGCACAGGACAGCAGATCTCTGCGAGTTCAAGGCCAGCCAGAGCTACATAGTGAGAACCTGTCTCAAACAAACAAAAATGTTGTACAATGTGTGCTTGCTTTGACAGCACATATATTAAAATCGGAACAATACAGAAAAGAATGGCACGGCCCCTGTATAAGGATCACACTCAGATTTGTGACATGGGCTTCTGGAATGACTATGGTGACTAACTCAACTTGTCACAGCTTCTGCCATTGGAGCTTGTGGACACGTGTATAGGATCAAGAATTCATACTAGAGCTGGGCGTGGTGGCACATGCCTTTAATCCCAACACTCAGGAGGGAGAGGTAGGCAGATCTTTGTGAGTTGGAGGCCAGCCTGGTCTATAAGAGCTAGTTCCAGGACAGGCTCAAAAAAAAATCTACACTGCAATGAAGAGTGATAAAAAAAAATTGTTGGTGCACTTCTAGGATTGAACGAGCTTGTCAATGTGGTGCTATAAGAAGTGACCGAGTTCGAGATCACACTGGAAGGGAGGGCTACTCTACTAGATCAGATTTTACTACATGTCAGGAATGCAGCAATGCTGGCTTCTGCAGGAGAAGGGCATGAAGTATGAATGGATTTCCTTGACTTGTGCTGGATTCTGACTCTGAAAAGGCCTTTAGTGTTTAGATACTTTAAAGCTAAATTTCTGTTAAAGGAAAACACTTTGAAGATACACACCAGTTTTTTTTTTTAAGCAAACCGTAGTGATTTTGGAAAAATAATAGTTTTTTGAAGATTAAAAATTTAAAATGTTTTTGTTTTTAAAATTGTGAAGTGAAGGTGGGTGGTGGTAGCACATGCCTTGAATCCCAGCATTTGGGAGGCAGAAGCAGGTGAATCTCTGTGAGTTCAAGGCCAGCCTGATCTACAGAATGAGTTCCAAGACAGAAGGCTACACTGAGAAACCCTATCTTGAAAAACAGAAAGAAAGAAGGAAAAAGAGAGAGAGAGAGAGAGAGTTGTAAGATGTCCCATAGTTCATCATTATTAGATATAATTAACATATGCTAATAAAAACCTTTATTAAAAAGAATTTAGGGCATCACTGAGCAGAACAAACTAACAAACAAAGAAAGAAAACTTGCATAATTTCTTTCTGCTTCATTTTGATACTGCTCTGGAATTGCAACTGAGTTCCTCATAGTTGACGCTGCCTGTGGAAGGATCCATGACTCAGGGGTTTTGTCCTCCTATTCTTTAAGTTGAAGCAGTGTTTGAACAGGAATGGATAGAGGCTGGAGTTTGCCGTAATTACTCTCAACTGGACTAGTTAGTAGCATACCTCATTAGCAGAGAGCCTATCCAATGCACAGAGGACCTGAGGCTTGTAGCACCACAGAAAAGATTTAAATACAAAAACATCTTCAGTAATCAGGAGAATGACAGAAAAGGATTAAAAAATAAAACACACAAAAGAAAAAACCATAGACAAATAATATTTTTAAAAGGAGAAACGATTTCCCCAGCCAAGGTGACTAGCTAAGCAAAAGAAGGCAGACGATCATGGCGTATGCTGAGCAGGGCTTCACTGTGGGGCTTTTTAGGGTTTGCCATGGAGATTCATATCCTTTCTGTTTCAGAACTTTGCCAAGTATCCAGCATGAAGGAGGGTGACGAAAGTTAGCTAAACTTCTTTTCAGCTGGGTTGCACCAGGCAGAGATTCTCTCGGGAGGTTATTAGGCTGTGCAAACCAAGGACAGCACAAAGCAGAGTTGCAGACCCCCAGATACTCTTGAGGCTTTTGTGGGCATGGAACTGTGGCATTCTGTGTTGGGAGTGGGGCCATTTGAATCGTAGGATCCGCCACTCTTGATCCTGGTTTCCTGCACACGGTACACACTGGAAACCTTCAGTTATGTCCCTAGACTCAGAGGGCAGGCTCCCTGACTGACCGACTCTACTGCCCTCTACATCACAGCTCACATTCCCTACAGCACGGAATTCTCAGCCAGTTCGTACTAGTGTCGTTTCCGAGAGCCAAGCCCGTCTCACGCACCGTACTGCAGTGTTCTGGAGATGGGAATATGCGGAAGTTTCCACCCTCGGAGCGGTACAAACAATCGTACCGTTCTTGAGATGGTTTCTAGCATCGGCCAAGTCGCTTAGCTCTTTCAGCAGCATGACTACGTTACTGCACTAGCGGGGTAGCTGAGACCTGTTCTCTTAGAGTTTTACGTCTGCCAATTGGAGTAGATTTCCCCTTCTTAACCAGGTGCCTGAAGACAAGGCCTAAGGCACTCCCTTTCTCTTGCTGTGTTGTGTCCCGGAACTCAGGATTTCACTACGTCTCCTTGTCTCTGTTGCTGAATTCAATTCTCCACAAAATTGAACCAGTGTTGGCATCCAGGCATCTGTGCTGGCCTATCTTTGAGGTCCGGACAGGACATGCCCTCAGCTGCAGCCACCTTCTGGGCACCTTCGCTACATTTCCTTTTAAAAGGAATGACACTTTGTAAATCATTCTCCTGCCTCGAGATTGCCCATGTTGGTATCAGCTTCAAACCTTGGCCCAGAAAATTCCCAGTGCGCCTATGTTGAGCTCAGCTTAGCCTCACATTAGGTACACAGGCCACAGACCGTCTTAATCTTGTGGTCAACCTGGAGCGCTTTCCCTTGCTGGTCACTGACAGGCTGGTCTCTGAAATCCAGTCTCCATGGGGCGGCTTCGACTCCCACTGTGGATGTGTGACGTGTGACGAAGACAAGCTGTTTGAGGAAATGGAAAACGAGGGAGGCTTCCACGCCCCCAGTTCCTGGTTCTTTCTACAGCAACAAACTATAAGTATAGTGGCTTCGTGTGGTCTTACTACCTGACAGTTGTTGGCCATGACTTGTGCTAGTCATTCTGGGTTAGGTCGGGGTGTCACCAAGACTAAGCTCCTTTGGGGGTGCTCTAGTTAAGTGTTGCACAGCAACTTGCCTGTGTCCCTTAGCTTGTGACCTTTTCCTTCCCAAGTGACAGTTGTCTTTCAAGTGTCTTCCACACCAACTCCTTTTCCATTTAAGGAATTTTCTGAAGACAGAGCCTGCTGAGGTAATCCAGGATCCATCTGTCCAGTAACCTTAGTTCTCCTCTGCACAGGGTATCCTCAGGGGCAGGATGGTCTGCTTGCCATGACCTGTACAGTACTAATAGCTTGCAGAGCTGAGTGCAAACCCTCCTTTAGGGGACAGCTGTCCCTTAGACAGGTTAGTCAGGTTGTGGAAATCTGACCTCAGGGCAGGGCCTCGCTGGCTCCTGGAGAGACAGTGCTGAAATCAGTTCAAGAACAGAGTGGTAGGAACCAGGAGACTTGAGGGACTGTTGGAGGGAGATTATAGAAAGGGCCCTTGCTATAGAGTACCACCAAGTGGTGAAAAATGCCTAAGAGAGAAACAGCCAAGGCCACGGAATGTGTTAGGTCACTGGCCACCTATGCCTTGTCTTCGGTGCCTTGGAGACATACTGTGGTTTTATTGTTGTTTTTGAGACAGGGTCTCACTGTGCAACAGGCCTGGCTGTCCTGGAACTCACTTTGTAGACCAGGCTGGCCTTGAATTTACAGATGTCCTCCTACCTCTGCCTCCCAAGTGCTGGGGTTAAAGTTATGCACCACAACCACCTGGGCAGACTGTGTTTTACATGGGGATGTCATGTAGAAGGTTGCAGAGATCGGGGTCAGGTGCATGTCATGGAAAAAAGGGAAGGGTGGGGCGACCCTCTACCTTTCGGGCAGAAGCCTAGCTAAGAGAAGTGTAGTGCACCTTTTTGATTAATGATTGATGTGCATGAGTCCAGATCACTGCAGGCCATGTCATCCCTTTGGCTGGAGGTCCTGGATGGTATATGAAAGTAGGCCGAGAAAACCAAGATGAACAAGCCAATAAACAGCACTCCTCCATGGCTTCCACATCAGTTCCTACCTTGAGTTCCTGCCCTGACTTCTCTGGATGATGGACTAAGCTGCAAGATGAAATAAACCTTTCCTGCCCAGGCGATTTTGGTCATGGTGTTTTAGCACATGAATAGAAACCCTTACTAAGACAGCCATCTTTCTCCATGAGAAAAGCTTATTAGATTCATGCAGGTGCCCAATAGCCCATGTGTCTAGGGGCCAGGTTATGGGACAGCAGAGCAATAGAACATCCCATTACAACAGAAAATTCTGTTGGGCATTGCTGTCCTTAAGTCAGCAGGTAATGACATCTGTATAAAGAATGGTAAATGAGATTTAATGATCCATTTCTTTTCTTTTCGATCCATTTTTATTTTCTTTTTCCTCCTCACACACAGAACTTCTCCAGACACATTCCCTGAAGCTATAAAGTTACCTGCTGTTGACAAGGAGCTATTTTATCTCTAAAACTTTGCTGGTGCTGGACGGTGGTGGTGTAGGCTTTTAACTCTAGAACTCAGGAGGCAGAGATATGTGGATCTCTGTGGGTTTGAAGCCAGCCTAGTCTACAAAGGGAGTTCCAGGACAGCCAGGACTACACGGAGAAACCCTGTAATGAAAAACAAACAAATAAAAACTTTGTTGGTATCAAAATATGACAGTTACTAGTAGTAAATACATGAAATACTACACACACACACACACACACACACACCACATTAATCTTTAGATGTTTGGCAATTATACTACACAAGAAGACAATACACAAGCACTCACATGAACACACACACACACACACACACACACACACGTGCGCACATGCGCATGTTTGAAATTGGGAGCTCACTGGTCCCTTCTTGGTGGCTGTGCACTATTCCAAAGGTCAGCAGAGGCAGCAGGAAATTACTGTAGAGGACACTGAACATCATGTTCCAGAAGCACCTTGTGGGATCTACACTACCTCTCCCAGGGTGGCCTCAGAATCCTAGAATGGCAGGTCCGGCTGACACAAAATGGAGACGGGCATCACCACATTTCTTGTGCTGACCTTCTCCCAAGCAGGCACTGTGACTCTGAACACAACGCCCCCTTACAACTTGTCATGTTTGCCCTGGGTTCTTAGCTGGTGAGATCATCAATTTTGCATACAACCAACTGGTACTTCTTTCTTGGTAACTTTAGACCTGGAAGGTAACTAAGGGATGTCATTACTCCACCCCAACTGTGCATCTTACTTGTGCTGTGGGTCTCCTGGGGTTTTTTTGTTTTGTTTTGTTTTGATTTTGATTT